CGGCCCCATATGCATGACTACCTTATCTTTCAGCAAACCACGAAATACTTCTGGGTAATTGACCTGGCCTGGAAGGTAAGCCTATGATTTGAAACTTCGAGGTTGGGTACCATCGGCTTTCTCTCGCCACGGACAGCACGCTAGTGTATTTTTTCGCGAAGCTCTAGCTCGGTCACGGGCAGAAGGGGGTGGGGGGGGAGGGTCCAACGGACATTCCCCCTCCCCCCAGCTCGCAGAACACCAATATGGACGAGAGTCAAGTGTGTAAAAGAAGAAACGTGTGATGTGCATCTTTCCCAAACGGATAGGGCGATTCCGAGTTCCCCTTCACGATCAAATCACGTGCACGTCGAGACATGACAAAAAACAACCCACGCAAAATAAGACAAATGTATTCAAAGCGGCACAAAAAAAAAACAGAATCACAAAACGCTCATGGCAGTGCTTTATTTGGCAACGCTATAATAATCACTCAACATTAGTCACAGGATTGTATGTTTGTATTTGAAGCATTAGTTTTGCATGATCTGATAGACTCTCAGAAAAGATCATTATGATCGGCAATAGCTGGACGTTATGTGAGGAATATATAGTAGTTGGTGCAATTGATCCTGATGTTCATGCAATATGCAGCATCTATGCTGCATGTGCAGCATTGAGCGGAGCCAGACCAAGTATATGTTGCGTTGAGAAAGTTGTTCGCGTGCTACTAAAAGACGTGGTGAATTTTGAGTTTGTTATCTATATTATGATTTAGTTAAAGTTAATTTTCACGAACGTTTTTGCCTATTTAGGTACTAGCTAGTTAGTCTGAATGCTAGTGTGCTTCGTAGTGGTCACTCAATTTAGCAGTAATTTGTTTATTCCGTGAAGTTAGAAAAACAACATCAAATTGAAATCGTTAGGATTCACCTCACCAAACACGGGAGACTAGCGGCTGGGGGTGTGAGCGGGAGGTGCCTCTGGATTTTATAACCGGTTCTGGCCGCTGTTAGCCACCTCACCATGGAGAGTTGCGGTGTACTGAGGTGTACTGAGTCAAGGTGGAGTTGGGGCTTCCAGAACATTCCACGGAAACACTACACCTTTATATGTTGATTTGTTCCGTTCATGTGCACTGCTTGTGGAAAATATCTGAGTTATGTGGTATGTCACGACATGCATGACAGTCTAGTGAAGCGTTCAACTAGCGGATTACTGACGTATATTATAACTAACGTAAAACTAAGTATGACTACCCTCACTAATACGGATGTACTTTCTTGTCCACTAAAACACGTTTATGCACTTACACGAGCACACTGTAAGGCATTAACACACGTTCAGTTCAGTTCAGTGTTCAGACTGTCATCGTCGCATGCCTTATCCCGTTGTTTTCACGTACACATTGTGTCAAGGGTCTCCCGCTTGGCACGTGTGCTATCCATCACAGTTGCACGTGTTCTGTCGGTCACTGAAACACACGTGGTGTTTGTCATTCTATGGCATGTGCTTTACCGACAGACACGCGCGGTGTCGTAACCTGCACGTGCAATACGTTTCACGTCAACGACAGTTTCTTGCATCATTCCCCATACGCCACCTGACATACCAAAACGTCCGCAGACTCCCCCTCCTTCCCCCACTCCCACACACATGCATTCCCCACGTCGTAAGATTTCAACAGAATTTCTCAGACAATGCTAGCGACGTCGACAAAGTTTAGATTTTATTCGCTATTTGATGTGACGAAACGCGCAACTATTTGTACCGAATGTGGGTTTTGATCTGTTACCTAATAAGAGATACCGATTAACATTAATGTTTGACGTGAAATGCAACCATATTAGTTTCGAAACAAATTGTCAGGGCGTTTGACATTGTTTGACAAGTAAGGCGCACGTGGGAAGGGATCCTTATGACCACATTTGATTGTCTGATGACGAGAGTTGCAATGCTTAACGTTTCATTACGAAATTATTTGACTTTTTGTATGTGCCTGGTTGTGTTCTTACCATGCCAGTTTCGTAAAAAATAGGCAATTGTCTCGTGTATGAGCATTATGAAATCTGAGCACATTTGGGTAATGTGATTATGTGGGTAATATGGGTAAATAAGCACATGTGGGCAATGCGATCATCAGACGGAATCATGACGTATCATCAGAAGGTGGACTGCAACCGCTGTGTTTTTCCCAGCCGACACTACAACAACCCTTAGAAACGTCAAACACTCACGCCAATTCTGGCAGCTCTAACCGGACCAGCGCCTCTGTAAAGTGGCAGCTCTAATCCGTACCATCCCACAACGGCACCCGGTTGCAGATTTCAATTCACTACCGGATTATAATCACACGGCTTTACCGTGACTGCGGGGGTCAAAGGATACACACGTCGGGAGCACCACTCGGGGACCGGTTTGGCTAGAAACACATGCAACACGAGGTGAGGTGCCGGCGGTGGCGGAGGGTGAGGATCGGATGGAACTGTGTTCTGCAGGGATGGGTATTTTCTGCTGAAAAAACCGCGAGCTTGGGATGGGTTCGGAATGGATGTAAGGACGAGATGCAGGGCGGTGTGAAATGCTTCATTGTATTCGTCATGCCTTATGACTAGCCATGCAGAAAAAGTTCAACAACGAAAACAATGGCTACGTTTCCATGGCACAAGCTAGGCCGATTTTGAAAAAATGGATTTGCTCCATCATAGCATTTAGGCATAATTTACAAATGTAAATATAGGAGTAGGTGCTAGCTAAAACCATATATACGCTCTTTTTTTGCATAAGGTAAATAGTTTCCGAGAAAAACGCACGTGAAATTTCGCTAAATCGATTTAGACGTGTCATGGAAACGTAGTGAATGTCTGTAGGCTTGCCTGCAAAATATTCTAGGCAGACAAGTCAAGGCGTATTGAAAAACAAAACATTTAACAGCAGACCATTATCTCTACATCACCACCACAAATCATGCACACAGACACTGCGCAAGCGCTCGTGAACTCACTTTGCACATAGCATTCCTACAATGCATGAGTCCTGAGTACAATCCTGAGGGTGACGTCTTGAGTGATGTGCAACATCAGAGACTAGACTGAGAATGTTGAGAACGAAAACACAGGTACCGCACGTTTTTTTTTTCACGCAGAACATGAATCACTTTACTATAGTCTGTTTTTCGTATCTTCTACCTTCACTCAAAGACGGTAAACTCTCTAATCACGTGCTCCAGCGAACATCTAATTAAATCAACACCGCTGCAAAGTCAATTTTTATCTCGAACGCAAGATCGAACGTCTGTCCCCTTGGCCTATCTCGTTAATCAAAATGCAATGTTCTTTGTCAAGTGAAATGCATTTGCATAAAAAGGTGTCATCATATTTTCATTCTGGCAAAATTATCCCTTTCTAATTTCATTATGTTTTCAAACAACAGAAGGGCAATGGCCTTGGTCTCAGACAAGACAAAATGATCGTAACGTTTTCTTTCAACGTTTCAAAGCAAAAGAAATGTGGGTTAGGTGACTGAAATAAGGCGGTGAAGAAGGAGCACAACCAACGAATATCGCCAGAATAACGAACTTACTTCCTTGGATATCAGAAAGAAAAGTGTTGAAGGCGCGGAGATACACCGACGGTGTTGGCACAGTTCAACTCCGTCATGCTTTCAACGCAATATAATACGAAAAATGGTGTTATTGTTGCTATTACCTGCAATCATAATATAAGCCCTAAGGCGTTGGTGATTGCCAGTGGTCAAAAAGTCATGTCAGATGATAAAGATCACCAGCAGCTTTCGACAATACCTAATAGCTGCTAGAACTAAAAATGTTTCGACGGCGCTGTAGTTCAATCGGTTGACAAGGTTTGGTCAGATTTGTCCAAACATGTTAAGCTCGGGAGTTTTTTAAATTTATGACCTTCAGTGGCCTTCACTATTGACCTCAGCAAAATGCGGTATATACTATATACGTATACTGCTGAAAGTAATTGTTGAGAGCTCTATCGATTCTTGCCCGCGTCTTCGTATCTTTTTTACTTTTCGGGATGATCGCGTGAGGCAGATAGGAAAACTGTAAGATGAAGCAAATCTGCCTGGGGACCCCCAAGCGGGCGTGGGCTAAGACAATTTTGTTATTCGTCGGTGTAAAAGTTATCGCAACGTAAATAAAGCAAAACATAAATAAAGCATTTGAAAAAATATGGCAGAGCATAAAACACATTTAGCTTCTTTTACCCAATGAAAAGGAAGTGCAAGGTTTAAACTTTAAGCAAGAGCGCTTCGCACAATGCAAGTACCTATGAACAGCAAAACGTCCTTGTGTATAGGTCGGTAGTCAGTACCAATAAACCGTGGTAACGATAATACAAGCGATACTCTAGCTTAAAGGTTTCTTTTCCGACTTTATCTGCGCAGCAAAGGCGAACTCCAACACGAGCAACAAACTCTTGCAATGAGTGGTGGGCCATGCGGTCAAGATTTGAAAACTATACCCAAAAAACGTGCTGGAGGGGCAAAACATCTTTGAGTGAAGGTAGAAGATACGAAAAACAGACTATAGTGAGTTATTACCATCTTCCATTATGTGCAGCATGTGTTATTGTTCATGTCAGAACCTAATGTCGGTCTCCTCTTTGGTTGTTTCTACGAGTATTCATTTTGCACTTTGACGTGTCATTACCTCGATATGCGACGGTGTAGAGTGAAACGTTTTTGACAACGCAGTTACAGATTCCGAAAATCGGCAGCTTTAGTGTAGTTTCCTGGCTACCTGTTTCAGTGTTTGTTCACTGTGGACCTTCTCACCTGATTCTGAAAAGTGACACTGATCCTTCCTCCAGATGTCACTCTTTTGGTATCGCAAGTGTACTACGCACGTGAAGGCATCATCTTGTGATCAACCTTCGCACACAATATTATGCGGCACATTCCTCACAAGACACCTGCTGTATAGTTTTAAACTTCCAGCGATTTTTCTTAGTGAGCTTCGTCTCTCTTCTCTTTTTCTTCACTTCTCTTCTCACTTCCCTTCTCTTTTCCTCTCTTTTCTCTTTTTGCTTCTCTCAGAGGCTCTCTTCCCACGTTTTCATCTCACTATTTCCTCTCCTGTTGCTCTTGCTACTTGTTACTCTACCCTATTATTTCTTCTGGTGGTCTCCTGTTGCGTTTTTGTTCTTGAACGACAAACGTTTTTCGAGACTTTGAGGTTCTGCCTCTTTCCTAGCTTAGGTATTTTGATTTAGTTTTTATTGTTACATGTTTTCAAACGCACTTTCCGCTTGCTGGTGCATTTGTGTTTTCATAGCATCATGCTTTCTTCCCTTTCGTCGCTTCTCGGTTTTGGGCAACGTTCTTCTTTTGTGATGTTGTCCAGAGGATTTTCCTTCCTCGTGTTGCAAATCGATCGTCCTCCTCTATTGCCTTCTTGTGTATCGTCTTTCCATGGTAGTAACCCTTACACTTCTCTTCTTGCGACATCGCACTTCTTCATTGCTTTATCGTGTCGCTCACTTCACGTGCTACCCTTCTTTTTCTGTGGTCTTCTTCCGGGCAGCTTCCTTGTAGTTTCGCTTTTTCGCGTAGCACAGTCTATCGTGTTTTCTTCTTCTTCTCACGTGTTGTTCTCTTATGAAGCTCTTTTAGCACACAGCGGTTCGCCCTTCTTGTCCTTCTGTAGTGGCAATGGTCTTTTGCGTTTCCTCGCATGTCGACGGTTTTTACGTGTCTCTTCTCCCGCACACCATCCTTCTTGTCCTCCCTTCTTCGCACCTTTCTCCAGTGTCATTCTTCCTTTTTTGGCTCCATTTTTGTAAAACCAGTCGTTGGGTTCTTCAAAAGCCGTTCCATCCGCGTCTTCTTCAAGCTGTATCTTCCTTCAGTGTCAATCTTCTCTCGTGACACCAACTACTCGCCTTTTATCCCAGCAAGTAGTAGAGCTATCTTCTTGCCAATCACCTGCTTAGTTGACACTCTCCGCTCTGTCGCATTTGCGCCTCGCACTCTTTTATATCCTCTTGACGTCTTTTAGTCGTCGTCTCTTTCCAGCGGGATCTTGGCTATCTTCTCACGAACGCGAGTACCGGTGATATCTTCTCACCAGCTCATCTACCGAGTCAACAGACATTCTGAGACGCTCTTCTCTCGTCGGCTCCGCGGCGCGGAATGACACTAAAGGCGATAACCAGGTGCCACGTCCACTAATCTGTTCTTCAACTCTGACATTTCTGAACGGCCGTCAATGATATCACTCGCGGGCGTCACTACTAATCATGCGCCGTATGACTGGTATGCTGCTGGTGCTAAGTGGAGAGGTGATGTGTTGAAGTGAAACGTGTTGACGTTGACTGGATTGGGTGGTGGTGATGATGCAGGGCAACTAGTTGGGTGTCCGGTGTTGATTGGGGTCGGGTCAGTATAAAAGGTTGGGTAGAGGTGAGGGCAGCATCAGTTGCTTCCAAGGCGATCTGTGAAGAGTTGCTACAACAGCCCAACAACAGAGCAAATAACAAGCCTTGGGGTCTTCTGATTTAGTCTCGCATAGCCAGAGGATCCACCGCGACATCCTGACGAAGGACTTGACGGCGTAAGGACGTCAGCGCCGCCATGAAGCTGTCACTGCTCCTGCTGGCGGTGCTGTCAACATCTGCTATTGCTTCAGCAGCCAACCTTCGCGGCAACGAATCCTCTGACAAATCTGGAGAGACCTCGGCGAGGAAAGGACGCTTCTTCTTTCTGGGAACTTTGCTAAAACAGGGAGCGAATGCGGTAAGGGATACCATCAGCCAACTGGGGAGTTCGGTTGGACTGGTACAAACTGCAACCACCCCTGTTGTTCAAAAACCTGCCGATCCCATCTTCATCCTCGACGTATCTAGGACACCTGTTGCACAGCAACCAACCTATACCAATGTACAACATGTGGCACAGCAACCAACCTATACCAATGTACAACCTGTAGCATATCCTCCAAAACGTCATCCTCCTCCTACCTACGGCAAAATGAAGCCTGCGACGTACCCTCCGAAACAACCCCATCCTCCTGCGGAGAAGAAGAAGGAGAAGAAGGACACCCAGCCTTGTCCGGTGCCTCTGTTCCCCACTGGATGTCCTGCAGGACAGGTGTGTGCCGTGACGAGTCCAGGACATCACCAGTGCATCCCGCAACATCCTGATGGAGCCAGCTGCGTCACCAACTTCGAGTGCACCTCAGGCAAGTGTAAGAGAAGCCACTGTGTGAGGGACATGTGTAGGAGTCCCGGTACTCAGTCGAGCTGTCCCAAAGGATAAGAGTGTGTGGCAACGGAGAGTGGCAACAAGTGCGTGAAGAAGGGGAAAGTCCATGAGTGCCCAACGACGATGTCCATGCAAGGCTGTGGAGAGATGGAATACTGTACTGGAGGTTCGAACGGTAACGTTTGCACGAACAAACGAGGAGTCAACCAAGCGTGCGAACACAACGTTCAGTGTATCTCCGGGTCCTGTAGGCACGGAAAGTGTCGGAATGACGCGTGCCCCATGATCGACACGTCCATCGACTGCATGCCCACGCAGTACTGTACGTCCAGCCCCCAGGGCCACATGTGCGTGTCCAAGAAGGAGAACGGCGCCCGCTGTGCGGTCTCCACGCACTGCCGCTCGGGTGTATGTGAGCATGGGGTCTGCGTACAAGACGACTGCTGGAAGCCTTTTACACAGGACCGCTGTCAGACCAGCCACTACTGCAGTCCGGGCACCAAGGGGCACACGTGTGAGATGAAGCGCATGCTGGGCGCCTCGTGTCGTTTCGACGTCCAGTGCAAGTCCCACATGTGCCGCCATCGGATGTGTATGACGGACAAGTGCAGCGTGCCGCTCTCCACCGACCGCTGCGACGTCACCACCGAGTTCTGCCAGGCGGGACCCACGGGCAACATGTGCGTCACCAAGCTGATGGACATGACGTCCTGCAAGGTCAACGTCCAGTGCATGTCGGGTCGCTGCCTGAACGGCATGTGCGTGCCCAAGACGCCCGGTAAGAAGCCGATAGGAGCGGCGTGTATGATGCACAAAGAATGCGAGACGATGTGGTGTGTGGTGAGCAAGTGTTCGGTGACCCAACACTCTGTAGGCGGCCGGTGCCTAGTCAACAGCGACTGCCAGTCCAACATCTGTGGACCCATGATGACGTGTGAGGCGCTGACGACGACTACGGTAACAACACCTACAACAACGGCAACGACGCCAACAACGGCGGCAACAACAGCGGCAACAACAACGACAACAATGGATTCAACAACAATGATGATGGATACAACAACAATGATGATGGATACAACAACAATGATGATGGCAACTACAACAATAATGGCAGGATAAAATGCCACCAATGTGAGCCTAACATCACGCAGATGTTATATCAATTGTCGCCAGACTGACCATGAGGCTGATGGAAGTTGATGAAAAGTAGGGCGCGAGTCAAATCCCTCACTGACTCGAAACTCTAAAACTTTACTACGACAGAACCATAAAGCACGATGTTGACTATTCAATACGGAAGTGATGTTTTTCTTGCTCAAAATGATGAAATATGTAGTCAAACAAATGAACATGAATTGTATCTATACTCGATGAATGTCCTCGTAGAATTGTAAGCTTTGTCATAGCTTTGTTGTTCGTTTGGGTGGTGTTCGCTTGGGTTTGTTGTAAGAGTGCTCATGCTTGAATTGTTCGTAACATTGCGCTTACAAAACAACTGTTGTTCATGTTTTGTTGTTTGATAATGTTGCTTTTTGCCAAGTGCATGCTGCTTGTATATGTCCTCTGACTGGTATCTGCAATACAAAGTTTCAAACAATATCTTTTTATACAAAACGGACAACAGGGAAGGATTCCTAAAGCTGAGAGAAAGAAAATTTCAGACAATGATGTTCACTGGCCAGGGGACACACACACCGCTATTTCGACATTTTGGGGACACGATAATCTTTTATCATTTCATGGACATTTAGAAAAACGTCGATATTTCATGAATAATTTTCAGGAGACCATGAGTGGCAGAAATTCAGCTTTATTTAACCCGCGCCGGGCCGGGGGGTGTTTGAACACCTCCCCCCCCCCCACCCTCCTGCGATTTTTCGCAGATATCTCAAAAACGGCGGCGCTAAAAGCAACATTATCTATAAATGTTTATCCCGGGATTTTGATATCGGTGACCTAAGGTGAGGTCAATTTTGCGGCCTCTCCATTATAACCCGCGCACCGACCGGGGTCTGCGCCAACTTCGCACCGACGGGGGGGGGGGGCGGATGACCGCCCCCCCTGAGATCTCGAGAACAAAGCAAGATAGCGACAAGCGGTAAACGGCATCGGATACGCACGGACAAGGTCTACAATTTTTACACAGGTCATTTTCAGGTCAGGTCAAAGATGACGTCACAGGGGTCGAAAAAAGTCAAAATGGCGGCGCTAGATATGGAGAGAGTTTTTTCTCGAATAACTTTCGAATTAGTCAAGATAGGAACAAACTAAGGGCATCATCGTGATCCTCTCATCAATCCGTATCGAATGATATATATGTTGACCTCGAAAGCTCAAGGTCAAAGGTTGACCCCAGGTCACGTGACCTCGAGGTCATCATGTATATCATTCGATGCGTCTTGACGAGCTGAACACAATGAGACCATCCGCGTGGCTGTATCTTGTTCCTGTACGGAGTTATTGGCAAAAAACCTTTGGTGACCTTTGATGACGTCACATGACCTTACAGCTGCCCAACAGCAAAACAGACCTCAAGGTAGTGAAGGTTGATCGTATATGAAGTCATGTATGGTATATGGGGCCATTCCGACCCGTTTTAGTGGTAAAAACAGGGAGTTGATTTTTCCCCAATTGACTTATAATGGGGAGGTCGCGAAATTGACCTGACCTTAGGTCACCGATATCAAAATTCCGAGATAAACAAATTGTAGCTACCAATGACCTAATAACATCCTGCTATTTCAAAGGCCTCCGACATCTACTGTAGCTCTGGCACGGTGACAAAGTTGCAAAAAAGTGACTTGAGGTTGGGTCATTCAAAGAGACCTGGTGACCTGACCTTAAAGGGACCCTCCCACCTTAACATTAGTTTTGAGTTGAGATAGCCAAGTTTGCGGCCAGGCTCAGAAACCACCATTTATCCTGGTCGCAACCCCCGCAGCTTTATGGTGTTCAAGAAATTTCTTCCCTTTACTTGCAGGGTGGGACCAGCGTGGTCCCTATCTCTTAACCATTACGGGAATCTGATGACGTCATCAGGCTTTCGAACGTCCGTTAAATGTTTGACTAAAACGTTTTGTAGCACGCGGTGGTATATGCTGCTTTGCGCGCAACAAATGCCGCACTTTCAAATAAAGTCGCTAGGAACAGCGAAGATCCCAAAAAGTAAACAAAAGTAAAAGTCTAATATCTTGAAAACCGGTGAATATTTTTCGATGAAATTTGCTAGATATTCGTTTTTGCTCTTTCTGAACCGAGCGACATCACTTTCATGCCAATTCATTAACTTTTTTGAAGGTGGGAGGGTCCCTTTAAAAGTTAGGAGGCTCAAACTTGCACACCATGTGTATGTAAAATTGATAAAAGAATAGTCATACAAAAGTTCGCGGCGCTACGCGCCGCGGTTTTCCCGCTATCTGCGAAAAACCTCAGGGGGGGGGGGCGGATATCCGCCCCCCCGTCGGTGCGCGGGATAAGTCAATGGGAGAAAATTGAAAAGCGTCTGATTTGCAAGAACGTTATTCTAGACACTCTCAAACATCGAGATCTAGGTAAAATTGACACACTGAACCGGGAAATGGCAACTGTGGCCCCTCGTTATGTCCCCGAGGTCATCTCAGGTCACGAACAGAATCTAACAGTTTTCGCTAATAACTTCTGATAGGGGCGTGCTAGAGCGCTGAAAACGCCTTAGATGTGTTCGGCTCGACGTTGCGGATCGACTGATATGCAACACGACGACCTTTTCCGGTCAGGTCATGACCTTGACCTGAGGTCATGTTTTCAAGTTGACCTTTCAAGGTCAAATTATAGTTCATTCGACGCGTCTCGACAAGAGGAACACGATTCTGGCAAAAGTAATGTCATGGCTCCTTTGAGTCACAAGTTATTGCAGAAAAAACGCTTTTCGTAAAAATGATCATTTTTTAGTTTTTGCCCTCTGGAGGCTAAACCGTAGACCTGAGGTCAAAGCTGAGAACATTACTAAGAAAGGTCTGTAAAAGGGCTATCGAATGCGATTTTCCGCGGCGCTGTAAATCTATCGGTTCCCGAGATAGCCGTTGGCAGTTTCCAAAATGTTGAAATAGTCAACATTTTACCTTTGGTGACCACTGGTGACCTGACCTTTGACCTGACCCAAAAAATGACCGAAGTGTTTTCGTCCTTATTTTGGACGTTCTTTCGAGTGCCGCTTACTGTGTGTCGCTACGTTGCCCAGGAGCCTAGTTAGAAGGGGTGTTCAGACTAGTGATGTCAATTACGGAAAATCGGAATACAGATACCAAACCAAATACCAACCAAAACCACGGAAAAATACCGAAACCAAACCAACTTGGGAAACTGAGGGAAATACCAACTTTTTACCGATTTCTTAGCCTCTTATACATTAGTGAGGGCTTATGATACCAACAAAATACCAAACACATTACGACTGAAATACCAAATACCAAGTTGGTATCGGTTTGGTATCGGTATACCAAAAAGTTGGTATCCGATTGACATCTCTAGTTCAGACATCCCCCCCGGCGCGGCGCGGAATCTCAGTGCACCGGCCCGGCGCGGGATAATTTGCAAAACTAATTTCGGTGACATGAGGTAAGCGGTCAGGTCAACGACCCCAAGCTGGGAGTTTAGTTTTTTGAAAATAACCTCAACAAAATGGCCCTAAAGCTAAGGCAGTGGTACCAACGCATTCGCATCCAGACGCGTCGAATGACACGCATCTTGTTTAGAAAAGGTCAAGTCATATGTCGACGTCATTTGACCTCCCAGTGATCTTTGGTTGACCTTGACACATGAAAGGTGTTATGCTGTTCATGAATCTGGCATCCATTTTGCTCCATGCATCCATTTAGTGCGTCAGGATAGGAAAACTGGCTGAATTATTATGGCTGACTTGAATTACTAAAATAGCCCCTAACAAGGTTACTCCTGCCCGATCTTGACCTTGTAGACAGCCTTGTATCGTACCGTCAGCCACAAATAGGTGCCTGATAAGTTAAGAAAAAAAAATATTCAAAACATTTTAGGAATTAGTAAACAAGATATACGAAAAAGTGCAAAGTTTGAGGTCAATTTTGAGCTTGACATGGAGCTTGACATCGAAGCTGAAGCACATCATCGGATTCCTCAGATTCACTTATGTCGTTTTTCATCCGTTTTAACCTGTTCCATGCATCCTGACGTCTTCTGGAACACGTAGTTGGAGATCAATTCACATCCGCCGGCTTTTTTCTTTGACCTTGACCTTTGAAATTGAAAATTGACCTGAGATCAAATATTTTAAGCGTTTTACAATACTCCCGAAGAGTTCTTTCCCTTCCGTAGTTATTTCCGTAGAGTGCCGTTCTTGTTTCCATAGCTTCCATATTTACGGAGTTAGACAGGGGGCGGGGAGTAGAGGTAGGGTAGGTATATATTTCGACAGGTAGGGTAGGTATATATTACCCCCGGACGGCGGAGGTTAAGGTTATACCCGGGTCCAGTCGGATTAAATACCATTACCGGTCTCTGGCCCGAAATTAGAGGTCTCCGTTTGATCTGAGACCCTAAAGTTATGTAGGTACTATTGACTGCGTCTCGTAAAAACGCACACGCTGATTTTGTCGACAGCCTAGCGTGAGGACAACACACAACTCAGTTTGGTTTTACCTTTTTGATTTCGTCAAATAATTTAGGAAGCATGGTATCCGTGTCGCGAAATTGGCATCTCTAATGACCACTCCTCTCAACCGGTTCCAGGCCCGAAGACAGTGTGCTATCGTGTGCTGCCATCTTTAGTCCATTGCGGGAACTGAGTTTTTGCAGCGATGCTTCTGCCGAGCTCAGTCGCTTGAGAGACCTCGAAGGGTGAGGGCACGTCGGTAGAGCACGGGCACAGTAGCGGCTCAGTAGCACCAAATTTTGGCTGAGACGTAGTTTTTGTTTGTTCGGCGTGACTACCGTTGCGATTGTTGATATAAATTGTGTACCGTTTTTTGTTGTTAGATTCAAGCAACCATGCTTCTTCTAAATTCAAAGGGACTTACGCCGTTTTTGTTTACGTGGTTATAAGAAATATCCAAATGTATCAAAGAAGAATACGAGTTTGCGACAGTCTTAGACAGTTTATGGGTCGT